TGTTAGTGTTGAACCTAACATTCATTTTACAAGGGAAAAAAGTGCGACAATTATCTGCTAACAGCACTTCGCAATACTTCGAGGTTGATCGTATAAAGTGCTTAACCTGAGGACACAAAAACGGACTGAGTTGAGCTTAGAACTTCTGAACTTGCAAACTTCACGATTACATGCATGTTAGTAAAAGACTTCCGACGCGAGAAGAAGAAGCAGAACAAGAAGAAAAAGAAGAAGAAGAAGAAGAAGAAGAAGAAGAAGAAGAAGAAGAAGAAGAAGAAGAAGAAGAAGGAGAAGAAGAAGAAGAAGAATAGAGACGATGGGGGAGGAGGGTGGGGATCGAGAGATGGAGAGGAGAGGGGGGGGGAGGGAGGGAGGGAGTTGGAAAAGGGAGGAGGTTGGGGGAGAGGGAGATTGAAGGAAATTATATGTTTTTGCTGCCTGTAGTTTATTGCTGTTGTTGTTGTTGTTGCTGTTGTTACTGTTGTTGTTGTTGTTTTCGTGGTCCTTGTGGTCATCGTGGATAGCGTTGTTGTTGTTGCTGCTGTTGTTGTTGCTGTTGTAGTTGGTCATGTTGTTGTTGTTGATCGTGTTGGTGACGGTGACGTGGACGATGCTCTTACAGCTGTTGTCGTTGAACGCTCTGTTTAGCACGGAATGATGCGGATGATTTGTTGTTTTTTTTTACTTTATTTTATTTTATTATTTTATGTTGTTGTTGCCTGCTCTGTGAAATAGGTAAATACCAAAACTTTTCGTTGTTGATGTTTTTGACGCTATTGCTGTTGTTGTTGTTGCTGCTGATGCTGTTGTTGTTGTTGTTGTTGTTGTTGTTGTTGTTATTATTATTGCTTTAGTTACTGGTATTGATTGAAAATCGCGTTCATGTTGTTGTTGTTGTTGTTGTTGTTGTTGTTGTTGTTGTTGTAGTTGTTGTAGTTGTTGCTGTTGTTGCTGTTGTTGGTGTTGCTACTTTGAAATGAAATGTTGTTGTTGTTGCTATCGTTTTTTATTCTGACGTTTGCCTGCTGCTATTGCTTCTGCTGTCGTTAGAGTCAGCCAGCATGTTGTAAGTTCGGTTGTTGTTTCAAGTATGTCGTGTTTTTAGTTTTCAGTTTTAGTAGAGGTTTTACGACGCTCGCAACAGCATAAGGTCATTTGAACGCCAGAAGATTAGAGGTGTTACAAGAGGGTAACAAACATAAAAAAAGAAGAAGAGGAGATAAGGATGATAGATGTTCGATAGGATAGAAGGAGCAAACCACATCAGAGCATCACCAACCACCCACATGTCGTGTTTGTTACAATTCATGACACCATGAGTGAATACAGAAAGCTACAATCTTTTCCTGGCATTTTCTGGTACATATGCATAAGACCCAACTATCGACATACACCTTAACAACGGACTTGAAATGTAGATAAGTCTGGCACAATTAATACAGAAGTCCTTCGTGAGTGAAAAGTGTCCACTTAACTCTCTGTACGAAGATCCGTGTTACAGAATTGGCTCAGCTAATTGGGAGAATCTGAGAGGCATTCACTGAGGGCTGGGAGCCTCTGCTCTGCTCATCTTGCAGGGCCGGACCTACTTTCTCTCTACGTACTATTATAAGGGAGGAAGAAAAGCCTTTCTGAGAGTGTCATGTCTGGGAACGTAACGATGACGTATTGTGTGCGGCGGGAAATGAGGATATTTGGAGCGTATATATTATGACTTTGTCGCGAGTGATGGAGGAGATAGAGGAAGGGGGGGGGGGG